TTGTGGCATGGCCATCCCCTCTGGTGGGTGATTTCTCACTTTCTATCTCTCTGTCTCTGTCTGGCAAGCGCACGCGCCCTATAGCAAAAACCACTCCAAAAAATAAATAAATAAATAAAGGTTGATACTAGACTATCTAAAGTTAAGACCAGTACAGCAACCAAAACATTATAATTAATGACAAAGTGATAGCCACATAATTGAACAGACATACCCAAGTGTAGTCAACAGATTTCTAACAAGAATCATCAAACAGTTGAATAAAGGATAACTTTTCATTGAAATTATCTTTCTCACTGAAGTTATTCTTTCTCCAAATACTGAACTTTTAAGGTAGAAAAAAGGTGAAATTTGGCCTAAGTTTCCTTACATAAGAGAACCTCAACTCACTCTTAAAGAAAAAAAAAAACTAAAAAATTATGTTTTCCAATACTGCAGGGTCTTTTTCCAGTCTTACTTTTTTATTTCTGTATTCCAAGAAGTACAAATCAGATTCATAGTTTCAAAACATACTCATTGTTTTATTTCTTAACAAAAAGAATCAATTTAAAAATAGACAACAGGTGGAACCAAAAACTTGTTTTACTCTATTTTTTGGTCTTAACAAGTAATTACATCATACAATGTATACTCTTCTTACAAAGTGAACCAAGGGGAATAAAGTAAAAGAGGTAGAATGAAGGTAAGCCTTGAAGCACCATTTTTTTTTTTTGGTAAATATGAAAAAAAGAGTACAAGAAAAAAGGGAAAAAAAGAAATAGATATATTTATCCTTTCTTCAGTTTTATTTGTCTATGTATCCAGACTAGACCAAAGCAGGAATAGGAAATCACTTCCATATGCTAAGTCCCAGGAACGCTGCTTCAAGAGACATACACAGTATTATTCTTTGAATGTGAATTTTAAATAATATTTTTTGGAGAAAGGATAAAGAAACTTTGAAGTGACAAATTCTGTATAGGGAAAAAAGTCCTCTGTACATCTCATCTTAGTCAGGAGGCAGTAAACACTGATATAAACAAAACAAAAAACATAACCTTTTATGCTGTCACAATTCTTGATGACAAGGGTAGGACAAGTGTAGCAAAGTTGTTGGAGGAAATGAGGCTAAGTGGACTGAATCTCTCTGCTGTAAGCTATTTTGATTCCCTTTCAAGATGGATCTGTGCTCCTTGGGGAGTGTCAAGACTGCATTTTCACCATCTGCTTCCTCCTCAAGCTTAATCCCTGAGCTCCGGGCCCTTTTTGACTCCAGTTCTTCTGGAATAAGATCCTCTCCCTTCCTATCCTATCCCACTTTCTGCTGCTGCCGCCGCCGCCGCCGCCTCTCCAAGGACCGGCCCTTTGTGCGATTCCCTTGATGCTCAAGCTTCTCTAGCTACAATCATAAATAGACAAGCAAAAAGAGGTGTGGGCCATTGGTCAGGTTGGTCTCCCTGCCTGCCTGGCTTGACCTTCTGGCCTTTAAATCCTCCTTACCTCCAGGAGTGTGCGGATCCGCTCTAAGTTTGGAGGCTGCCCAGCCTGCAACAGCTGCTGGATGCTGTAGTTTTCATCCAAGGTCACTTCAAGCAGGTCCCCTTCCACCATGAGCTCCTCCAAAGGGGCCCGAGTTGCCTCAGGTAACTCTAATACAGGGCCCGTCAACTGTGGCAACAGTGAGGACAACAGCTCCAGATCTGTGGGATTGCAGGGATAGGCTGAGTTAAGAGTTGGCCCTCAGTCCTATGCCCATCATCATAGCACTGCAGACCACACAGGTCACTACATAGACTATTGACAGTACCCAATCAATAGACTATGAAACACTTATACCTACCTCTCTTACTTGATCCCTCCCCAGGAGCTAACTTCTCAGGCCCAGTCATGCTATATCCCTTCTCTAACAAATCCTGGACCTGCCAAGGAAAGTAGAACTGGGTAAGGATAGTTGAACTCAAAAACCAGGATCTTAGTTTTCTTCTCCAGATCCCAAATTTGGAATATACCTCTTAGAGAAGGGCTGCCAATAGGGATCACAGTCTAAAGATCTGACTGAATAGAGAATTAGGCTGGCAGCTCACCTTAGGCATATTGTGGCCACTGTCTTCTCTGAGAGGGTCAGAGACAGGGGCTGGAGGGTAGGTAGGGGGCTCCTCAGGCCTGGGTTCAGCCTGTAGATGTTGGCGAAGTGTAGCCAGCCGTCCCAACAGAGCAGTCACATCCTCATTGGCCAGAGCCTGTCTGGCCCGTCCTTGCCAGTTGATGGCTCTCTCTGTGAGGCACTGAAGGGCTTCACCCTCCGGTAGCCGCACAGGCAGTCTCTGTAGGGCTACCAGCAATGCCAGGATAGTCTCCAGGCGTGGGCGCCGTGAGCGCATGCACAGTGGACACAAGAATTTGGTGTCCCATTCCCACCAAGTCAGCAGTGGGGATGAGGTGGGACTGGGCCTCAGGGAGTTAAGGAGTCGGGGCACCGACACACACCACCCATGGAACCAGTCCTGACACAGGTCACACTGCAGAGCTCCCACCCCAGCAGGCACCTGCCCACACACGCAGATGGAGGCTGCAGAAGCGGCTGTGCTTGATGATGCCAATGGACTGGCCTTGGCTGAGTTGATGCGACGCAGCTGCATGATCCCTTTTATCTCCTTCTGTTCTCCCTCCTTGAAGGCCAAAATCTACCATGCCCAGGACAGAGGGAGAGTATGTCAGCAGTCTATCCTTCCTATTCCATGGCTCCCTTAATATCTCACTCCCAAACCAGGAGATAGTCAAGCCTCAGAACTTTAGGCACAGGAACTAAAGAGTCTGCCATTATCACCCAGCTCAGACACTGTCATTGTCAGGTTTTACTCTATTCAGGTTGATACCCAGAACCCGACTTCTATTTATGCCAAGCTCCTTACCACAGAGCCTGGGTCCCTGAAGTCCTGCGCAGACAGCCCCAGCAGCTCTGTGTCAGATTTGTACAACCCCAGCTCCTTCTCCATCCACCGGCTACGCTTGGTGCTGTCTGAGCCAGCGTCTGCACATGGGCAGAGCACCTGGGGCAGGCAGACAGAAAGAGGAATAACTGAGCTCCCCCTACCTGCCACCATCGTCTCCTCCTCTAGGTTTCGTTTTCGTTAGCTGTCTTACAACTGCCAGATGAGTGTAAAGGAGGCTTTAGGTCATAGTTCTAGGCCTTACCTCCAGCAGTGTGTAGCAAGAATTCTTCTTAAGGAAGGTCTTGGAAGCCTTCTCCTTCCAGGAGTGTGCTGTTAGTACCTGCTGTTCTAATTGTCTCAGCTCCTCCAGTCTCACGGGTAGGTCCCGGCCCACAGCCACCAAGCCCTCCAAATCATCCAAGCAGGGGTAGTGATCACCATTCTGGGACAGGGAAAATACAGAACTCAACTAAATTAAGTTAGTAACAACAGTGTCTCAATTTGTGCTAATTTTAGGTATAATGCTGTGTAAGGATAGGGCAGAAACACAAAACACAACTTTGAAATGAAGGATGAGATATAAATTACCTTTCTTCCAACTCCTACTTTCATTGGTTCAGCACCAGGAATTCCACCTGGATTACTCTCCTTTGGTTTGCTTCCTTGCTTCTCCTCTATTCTTATCCTGACAATGTCAACTCCTTCAGGAAACCCTCCAACCTCCTATCTTCACTTTCTAACATGAACTACACTAAAAGTCAAAAGTAAAACTATCTCTTTTTTACTATAGGCCTGCAATAGGGAAGCAGAAAACATGGTCCTCACTTGTATCTCATTCACATCAGCAATCCAAGCCTGTGCCTTATTCAGAGTTTCTTTGAGTGCCTGAATGTTAGGCAAGTGAACAGGGATGTTTTCAGCTTCATGAATTATGGCTTCCAATATGGATGGTGGATGCTTTTCCCTAAAAATATTCCAGAAAAGAGAAATTCATCACTAGGTATTAACAGATACACCTTCTTTTGATATTGTACATGGGTAACAATACTCCATCCCTGAGAAACTCCCTTAACACTTACACAAACAGGTCAATTTTGAAGTCACATTTAGTGATTTTCATGATCTAACTCCGGTAACAATACTCCATCCCTGAGAAACTCCCTTAACACTTACACAGACAAACAGGTCAATTTTGAAGTCACGTTTAGTGATTTTCATGATCTAACTCAGCTAAGAAAAATTTCCTCATTTACTACCTTTATGACAGTAAAGGATTGGCAATGACATGTCACACACGTAAGGATTACAGTTCATGACAATCCTACAGAGTTTAGCAAATGTATAGTGGCAGTCTAGTGCCCAAGATCATCCACAGAAACAAAACTTAGAATCATCCCCAAGTTCTGAGAACTATAATCAGAATAGAGATGACAACAGGCTGGTTCTTACCTGGTTTTCAAGCAGAAATGGGCCTTTTCTTCCCAACACTCTGCAACTGTCAGCAGTTCTTGCAACTCAGCCCGGACCTTATCCACAGAAGGACTGGAGGCTATCTTGGCACCCATAACCAATAGTCCCTGCATGATGACCAAAGAGCCCCTTTGGGCTGCAGGGGCCAGTGATTGTTTCACTTCATCTAGCCACTGCACTTGCTCGATGTGCTGCCGGAGTTGATGTGTTTCAGGCACCTCCACACCTAACTGCTGCCCCCTCTCTAACAGGGACTGCAGTAGCCCTACACTAGAATGTAATGAAGCTAGAGCCTCACGAGCCTCAGCTTGATAGGCCTTCACCTGTTCCAAGACATCCTGCAACAACAGAATAAAATGCAGATTTTTAAAAAAATTTTAACCATGTAGACATTTAATACCCATTTTTTTAATCTATACCCCATCTTCCCTTACAGGCATTTACTGTAATAAATGCTATATAATTTATCTTCAATCATGTCCAAAAACATGCTTTACTTTATTTCAAAAGTCCTTCTTTTACTCTTTTCTCCTTAAATTTACTTATCCTGTCCCACTTAAATAGAATCTTATCCCTCTAGAAAGCCTCCCAAGAATCCAGTCTCAAAAAAGTCCCTCTCTGTTTAGTATTTGTATTTTTGTATAAAAGGTAGTATATATCACAGTATATGGACTACCCATTTCCACAGTACTAGGAAAGGAGCTGGTATTACAAAGGACTCAGATTATCAAATGTTCGTTTTCTGAGACTTTCCCTTTGTCCATGTTGCCAGGCTGTTCCTCACCTTGACAGCTTCAATCTGAGGAATAGTACAAGGAAGGCTGTCGATTTTCTCAAGAAGAACCTGGAGCTGAGTCAGGGTGACCTGCGGCATTTTCATCCTGTGGGAGGGAAGACCACATTCAAGCAAACTACTAAGGTTACATTTCAGGAATTTTAAGAACTTAAACATTTATTTCTCTTCCATGTTATCTGGAGACATCAAACCAAAATTATAATGAAAAAGGAACTAAAGCCATTTTATAGGTGATAGTAACTGTTAAAGAAGAGACTAAAGATATCAAAGTGTGAGAACACAAGTGTTGAGGGAAATACTAGGTCATCAGGAAAGTCATAATGTATTTTTCTATGTTTTTCTATGCAAAAAAATGCATCATGACTTTCTTGAAGTCCCAATAATATGTAATAATATACAATAGTATGAAGTCTGGACCTAAATTACATAATTACATAAATAAGTTAGAACCATTAGATAGAAAAAATGAAAATAAATACAAGTTTTCTTTTTAAGAAGAGAATAAAAACATGATATGATCTAGAGATACCTTAAGTTCTATGTTCTATAGTAATTAAATGTCAAAATGATAAATAAGAGAAAAAAAAGTCAACAAGATGTAAATAGCAGCTTTCACAGTAAAATTAAAGTTATGTACCAATCGAGATATTAAAGCACGGGAACTTTTTTTTTTTTGGAGATTTCTGCTATAGAGAGCGTGTGCTCGCCAGAAAGAGAGAGAGGGAGAAAGACAGAGAGACAGAAAGCGAGAAATTACCCCCCGGGGGGATGGCCCCGCTGCAATCCCTTCTCTTCCATTCTCCTACTGGGATCTTAGGTAGGCACGCACATGCACCCAGTGTGAGTTTAAGCCACTGGGTCTGGGACTAGAACCGTGGTTGCCTACATGGAAGTCCAGCGACATAGCCATTATGCTGACTGCTTGTCCCAGCACAAGAACTTTTAAATAGTATAAAACAGGATTAAAAAATGAGGAATACTGAGTAATAATATAAAATGATCAAATGTATTTCATTATGTCAGAAGTGGAAGAGTTCTATATTGATTCTGAAATTTTAATTTTTCTTATTATGAAAAAGTTCAGCAATGACAAAATAGATTAAGGACTAATAAGCTGGAGTACTTAAAATGTGGTAAAGTGCAGGAGAAAACGAGGATGAAATGTAGGAAAACTTAGTAGATTCAAATTACTGAAAAACCAGATAGCAGAGAAGCAAAAAAGCAATCTATCTTCTCAATATTCAGGTTCTCGATTATAGCCTAGGTTAAAATTTTCTTATTTTTTTACATTAGGTCTTATTCAATCTTTTTCATTTCTGGTCTGAACTAATGAACTTTTATCTACTTTATTATACAATTCTCTACCTTAATGTGTCTTCAAGGTCTCCTGAAATACTGTTCAAATTCTCCAGCAGAAACTGTTCAAAATGATGCACTTGTTTTACTTTTACTTGATACTAAACTACATAAAAATTTCCTGTTGTATGTAAAATTTCTATAATCATATCTTTAATTTTAAAAAATTACTTAAGTTTTGGGAACCAGCAGTTAGTGTAATGGCTATGTCGCTGGACTCCCACGTAGTCGACCGTGGTTTGTAGTCCCAGACATTGTGGCTAGAAAATCATGCTGGGTGCTTGCACAGGTATGCCCAAAATCCTGAGAGGCGAATGGAAGAGAAGGGACTGCGGCGTGACCATCCCCCCTGGGGGGTGATTTCTCGCTTTCTGTCTCTACGTCTCTGTCTGTCTGTCAGGTGAGCGCACGCGCCCTATAGCGAAAAACCTTTCCAAAAAAAAAAAAAAATTACTTAAGTTTTTAAAAACATGATATAATATTTTTATTTGCTACTGGTATTTTTGCTTTAACCTAAAATTTACCAACTATATAAATAACCATTTCACTTTTCCATTTCAGAAGTAGTATGTAATTATTAGCACATACAGTTGTCAAACAGATAAGTAAAATTTGAGCTTATTTATCCAACTATTTATCCAAACATTTTTTTTTTGGGGGGGGGGTTTGCTATAGGACGTGTACGCTCACCAGACAGAGAGAACAGAGAGAGAAAAAGCAAGAAATCACCCCCCACGGGGGATGGCCATGCCACAATCCCTTTTCCTCTCAGGATCTTTGGCACGCACGCACATTCGCCCAGTGTGAGTTTAAGCCACCACAGGTCCGGGACTCGAACTGCAGTCAGCTACATGGGAGTTCAGCAGCATAGCCATTATGCTAACTGCTGATCCCTTACACAAAATAAATTTTGTTGAAATTCTAATGACTGAATAATTTTATAAGATTTGTTATAAATGTCATAAAATTCTGCTATTGCATCTTCATTCCCATTGCCATTTATACTAAAAATTTGAACACTGTATCATTAAAAGTTATCTAAATGAAATAATTTCTAGTTTTTACTTTCTTATCTACTCAATCTCACTGTAATTTGCCCAATGCTAAGTCTGTTTTTGTTTGCCTTGTAAAGACAAGAGACTTGCTATTGTTGTAATCCTTCTGTCTTAGACATCCAAGTAGGGAGCAAAGATCACAGAAACAAACCTTCACATCTGGCTCTTTCAAAGCTTTGCTTATCTAGCCTAAGCTAGCCTCAAGCTCCAAAACCCTTTACCTCAGCTGCCCTCCCTTACCACTACAGCAAATAGGTCTACAGGTTCCCACTACTATGCCTGGCTTTTAGAGGGTCAGAAATCAAACCCATGTTTCCTGTGTGGCCTCAAATTGTAATGCAGCAGTGTCCAGTGTGTGCTATTATGACTGGTCTAAGTATACACTTTTTCTCTTCTTAAGCCAGAAGGCACAGGTGTATGTGTAAGAGAGAGAGAATCTACTCTCAGTGGGCATGGTTAGGCTGTAATCACTTTTCCTTCTAATTATTCATCCTGTCTGGATTTTGGACCTGGATGTACACACTCAGTGTGTTCTTCAAAATACAGGGTCTAGGACTCATACCCTAGTCTGCCATGTCTGTCTTCCTCTGTGAAGTGTCTGGCCATTGCTGACTATGTTTCTTATTTTCTGTGATTGTCAGAAGGATGTATACTCTCCAGAGAGAAAAAGAGAGAGAGAAAGAGAGTGAGAGAGAGAATTGCATAATATGGCAAAGTCACCATGCAGTTTTCTTCCATTTTTTCCATCTCACTGGGATTTTGAACTTGCACATACAATAGTTTTGAGATGCTGGGCCAGAATTTGAACCAGTCAGTCACATGGGATCCAGTTCCTGATGCTTTGCACTTTAACCAGAGCATCATGGGGTTAGTTCCCATATATGCTTCTTATATTACACTAACTTTGTAATTCTGGTCATCCCTATGCCCATATATATGTTTATACTTAGTAGACTATTTTTATCAATTCATTCTTGTTATTAAATCTGACAAACTGTCATCATTTTTTGTCCCCTCCTTTAACATACCTGGCCTCTTGGCCACTGACCAGACCTAGGATTTGGGTGATATAAACTTCTGCCTCACTTAGGCAGTTCTTCAATCGCTGAAACAGCTCATGGTTAGGAAATTTTCCCTCATGGACCTCAGACTTCAATGCCTTTAACTCTTCAAAGCCTAAGAGAGAGTATAAGTTGCCAGAGATGAACAGTACTATAGAAAGAAAGGATTAGGAGTGCTGAAAAAACAAAAACAAAAAACAACAGAGTTTGCTTAGGGGTCCTTTAATTTCCTATCACTCACTGCACTTCTGACCATCCTCCACCTCCAGGGCCACTCGCACTTTGTTGGCCCAGGTGTCAAAAGACTCAGCCCGAACCTTTAGCTTATGCAGCATTGCAGGTAGCTCATCCAAGGTATATCGATACCTAGAAGACAGCAAAGAAGAGTATATCTGGTCCAGCTCTATAACCTCCTCCATGTCTTCAAGATAGGCCCCATGCTCACCGCAGGTACTGTCGGGTACTTGGACACTTGCAGAGGTCACTGATGTGGAAAAGGCAGACAAGGCTATCAGGACAGTCATAGCAGGCCAAAGCTGATAGGAAGCATGTGGTCTTGCACTTGATGCACTGACGTTCATCATCTGGGAGCAGCTCAAAAGCCTCTCGTTCAGCCTCCGTGACGCCCTGGGGGTGTTCAATCCACATATACCATAAAGACTAGGAGCAGGGTTGTGGACACCCCACCTCAGCCAACATTTAGCCCTGTTGTGGGCTCAACTGTAAGGATAGCTGTAGAGAAATTGGAAGAAAAAAATATAAACACATACAGTCTCTACCTTTCCATTTCACAACGCATGACTTAAAAGACAGGCACACAGTGCTTATTCAATCTTGGTTTTGTCATCCTACCACAGTAGTCCTACCTTAGGACTGAATCTTTAAGTACTACCAATCTTCACCACCCACCTTCTCCAGCAAGGCTTTTCGTAGACGTCGTTCCTCCTGTACCATAATGAACATTTCCTTGTGCACAGCAACTGCCAGATTCAGATCCAACTTCTCAGGGAAGGCAGCCATCTTGCAGATAAGTTCCTCATGAGAGAAGACACAATAGCGCCGCAGTCGGCGGTAGTGTTCAATACACTGGCGTCCAGCAGGTAGCTGCAAGTGTGTCAAGATTGTGTGTGGCTATCTAGAGACAATGACACTCAAGTACTTCTACTGTGACCCCTACCCATGCTCTCTGTACCTTTCTGCTTGTAGACCCACATTCCAAACTCACCCAATCAGCAGTACAAAAGTTGACAGCCTCAGCAAAATTGTACCCTTGGTTAAAACCACTGTGGTAAGCACGAGGGAAAGTGATAACAAATTCCCCTGCACACTGATTTGTGCGCACAACCTAAAAAGAAGAGAAACAGAAAAGGGTATAGATTAGAACTAATCATGGAAAGTGGACTTAGATGTTAAGTCTCCAAATCATGTTATAGACATAGGGTTAATAGAAAAAGAACAAAGTTTCTATTTTCAAATACGTGCTTTCAAATGAAAGAGATTATGAAAAACACTTTTAGTTTCCATAAGTGAGTGAGAATGCTCAGGAGAGGAGTGTAGAATTAGGGGTACCAGAGAGGAGAGAGTAGAAGGGAAAATAGGGAGAACCAAGATGATAGATCCAGTATTACAGGCAAATAAGAGTAATGAGTTCTAGAGTACTAAAACAGAAAAACTGTAGTTAATAACAAAACTCAAACAGTCAAAAAATTATAGTATACGTTTATAATAAATGGTAAATATCTGACACGGTGGATAAGTTTATTAACCTGACTTGATCATTATAAATGTTTATGCACTGAAAAATAACAACTCTACTACATAAATATGTCCAACTATAATGTCAACTAAAAATTATAAAACAAAGAAAAAAAAGTTTATGAATGTACAGAGTAATAAGTCAGTAGGTAACATATATGAATCTTAATACTGCTGAGAAGATTGTTACCTCCTAAACCATACCATTGCAGGTTTTAATCACAACTGCTTTAAATGTACAAAATAGGTGCAAAAAAATTATGTCCCCTTTTATTTTTTTGAGAGTTTTTTTTTTTTTTTTTTTTTTTGCTATAGGGCGTGTGCACTCACCAGACAGAGACAGAGAAACAGAAAGTGAGAAATCACCCCCCAGGAGATGGCCATGGCAAGCCTTTCTCCTCCATTCTTCTCTCAGGATCTTGGCCACGCCCAGCCTGAGTTTTAAGACACCAGGTCCTGCATGCGAACCGCGGTCGACTAAGTGGGAGTCCAGGGATATAACCATTACACTAACTGCTGGTCCCTTCCTTCTTTATTTTTAAGCTTTTTCGTTAAACCTCAACAAATTAAAGTTAGGAAAAGAGCAAGAACATTATGGCTATGTAACAACTTGACAAATCTTCCTTTTAGCTTCATGAGTTTCAAACTTCTTAATCTCCTATTTGACTAAATGTAGGTCTAGAAATCTATTGGCAATGGTTTGGATGGAAATCTATTACATTAACATTAGCCAACTCACAGGTTCTTCTAGTGTACTAGGTAGGCATCTACTATTGATAATTACATTGTTAATATGGTCTTTGGTGCTGATTATATCTGCTGAACAGCTGAATGACAGCTTTGAGGAACAGGCCATGGTTATTTTTAAGTTAGGTTTTTACAGGACAGTCTTAAAATAATACTGTAATTTCTATATAAAATAATTTAATCAGACAATATTTCATTTTACCTAAATCCAAGATATCTTAAGAATATTTTATGTCTTCTGGTACAGAAGCATAAGTTACATTTTCCACAAATCCTTCTCAAATTTACGTCACAAGCATAGGCACAAACACATGTATACATACACCGTATTCCTTCATTAGGAATTATGAGGAACACAATTTGAGATGAAAATGTGTTGATAGTTCATTTACTTAAAGCTTCTATTTTTTTTAAAAAAAGATCTTTTAGAATTATTTATTTATCATTATTGTTATTATTTTAAAAATTTGCTACAAGGCAAAAGTGTTCACCAGAGAGAGACAGAAAGAGACAGAGACAAACAGAAAATGAGAAAGCAAGCCATCAAGTCTGAGACTTGAACCATGGTCAGGCCATGTGAGAGTCCAGCTACAATCTTATCTGCCACCCAGTTGCTGGTCCTTTTTATATCTGAGAAAACAAAAAGATGAGGTGACCTGTCAAGTTCCCAAAAAGGATTAAGGATAGATCTGAAATTGAATGTTCATTCCTTTCTCTTCAAGAGTCTATATAGGGAACCAGCAGTTAGCGTAATGGCTATGTCGCTGGACTCCCACGTAGTCGACCGTGGTTCATATCCCGGACCCAGTGGCTTAGAACTCATGCCGGGCGCGTGTGCGTGCGTGCCCAAGATCCCAAGAGGAGAATGGAGGAGAAGGGATTGTGGCGTGACCATCCCCCCTGGGGGGTGATTTCTTGCTTTCTGTCTCTCTGTCTCTCTCTGTCTGTCTGGCTAGCGCACGCGCCCTATAGCAAAAACCTCTCCAAAAATAAATAAATAAATAAATAAGAAAGAGTCTATATAGACTATGTGGAAAAACAAGTTATATGGACTGAATTACTATCCTTCTAAGATACACATGAGAAGTCATAACCCTTGGGACCTAACAAAGTGACACAGTTAAAGATGGAGCTTTGTAATAGGTAACTCATTAGACAAGATCCTAATCTAGTTTAACTGGAGTCTTTCGAAGGAGGGGAGATTAAAACATACTAAAAGATACTTTGAACTTAAGCACACATAAAGAAATGACCACTTCAGTGCATAGGCACTGAGAGGCCTCAGAAGAAACCAAGGATATTGACACTTTACTTATGGACTTCTCACTTATGGTACTGTGAGCAAATTAATTTCTCTTATTTATGGTGGGATAAAAAGAATCATGAAGTAATGCTCACAAAAAATTACAAAGAACAATCATGTGCAATTCAAGAAGCAAATATAAAGGGACCATAAACAACTGATGAAGAAGAGAGCCAGTTGGAGGTGTGGTGAAGGTAGCTGGATCCTGTATTACCAAATGCACAGTCTGAGTCTGGGATCTACAGCAGTTTGATAAACACGCCAGACACATGTATGTGCAAGTGCAGAATCCCAAGAAAAGAAGAGGAGGAAAAGCGACAGTGGCCTTTATGGGGGCTCTCTCTTTCTCTGGTAAGCACACTTATTCTCTGACAAAAGATAAAACAGAAAAAGCTTAGAAGATTCTGAGTTTCTTCAATGAATAACAAAATGTAAATTAAAAAGTCCAGTCACTAAAAAGCAAGATTCAGTAAGAAACTTCAAAACTTTGTCCCTCTACTTACAAAAGCAGAACAATTTAAAACAACAACAACAAAATCTCCTGAATTTTGTAAGCTAGTGAGTGTCGTAACACTGGATCTTACCTGTATAGATCATCTCTACCCCTAGCTCAGCACTTACCTTAGTGAAGACAGCATGATATGTTATAGCAGCATGAAAGTAAGTGCCAGGTAGCACAATGTCAAATTGTTTTCAAAGAACTGAAGCTATATGTTTTGACCTGTGTGACCTCTAGAGACTGACTTTATTTCAAATGCCTATAAGAGCTCTTTAGAATAGATGTTTCCCAGGCTGTATTTGTTGAAGACATATAGAGGCAAATGTATTAGTTACAGTCACTGTGATAAAAGAAAAGACAATGGGCAAAACAACAGACCTTCAAAGGTTTGACACCTAACCAAAGGTGTTCTACAGCAAAAATCCCCATTATGTTATTTACACCAAAACTAAGTTTTTCATTTCCTTCACACTCTAGGACAGGCATTAAATCTGTTTGGCTCTAAGTTCTTCACTGCTTTCTCTCCCCAGGGCAGGCATTAAATCTATTTAAACTTGGGTCCAGAACATGGGGTCACAGTTACCCATGACTACAGTTTGAGTCCAGGACCTGGCAGCTTAAAACTCATGCCAGGTGTGTGTTTCAGTGCATAGGCACTGAGAGGCCTCAGAAGAAACCAAGGATATTGACACTTTACTTATGGACTTCTCACTTATGGTACTGTGAGCAAATTAATTTCTCTTATTTATGGTGGGATAAAAAGAATCATGAAGTAATGCTCACAAAAAATTACAAAGAACAATCATGTGCAATTCAAGAAGCAAATATAAAGGGACCATAAACAACTGATGAAGAAGAGAGCCAGTTGGAGGTGTGGTGAAGGTAGCTGGATCCTGTATTACCAAATGCACAGTCTGAGTCTGGGATCTACAGCAGTTTGATAAACACGCCAGACACATGTATGTGCAAGTGCAGAATCCCAAGAAAAGAAGAGGAGGAAAAGCGACAGTGGCCTTTATGGGGGCTCTCTCTTTCTCTGGTAAGCACACTTATTCTCTGACAAAAGATAAAACAGAAAAAGCTTAGAAGATTCTGAGTTTCTTCAATGAATAACAAAATGTAAATTAAAAAGTCCAGTCACTAAAAAGCAAGATTCAGTAAGAAACTTCAAAACTTTGTCCCTCTACTTACAAAAGCAGAACAATTTAAAACAACAACAACAAAATCTCCTGAATTTTGTAAGCTAGTGAGTGTCGTAACACTGGATCTTACCTGTATAGATCATCTCTACCCCTAGCTCAGCACTTACCTTAGTGAAGACAGCATGATATGTTATAGCAGCATGAAAGTAAGTGCCAGGTAGCACAATGTCAAATTGTTTTCAAAGAACTGAAGCTATATGTTTTGACCTGTGTGACCTCTAGAGACTGACTTTATTTCAAATGCCTATAAGAGCTCTTTAGAATAGATGTTTCCCAGGCTGTATTTGTTGAAGACATATAGAGGCAAATGTATTAGTTACAGTCACTGTGATAAAAGAAAAGACAATGGGCAAAACAACAGACCTTCAAAGGTTTGACACCTAACCAAAGGTGTTCTACAGCAAAAATCCCCATTATGTTATTTACACCAAAACTAAGTTTTTCATTTCCTTCACACTCTAGGACAGGCATTAAATCTGTTTGGCTCTAAGTTCTTCACTGCTTTCTCTCCCCAGGGCAGGCATTAAATCTATTTAAACTTGGGTCCAGAACATGGGGTCACAGTTACCCATGACTACAGTTTGAGTCCAGGACCTGGCAGCTTAAAACTCATGCCAGGTGTGTGTGCATGTGTGCCCAAGATCCAGAGAAGGGAATAGAGAAGAGAATTCAGTATGTCCATGACCCCAGGGGCTAATTTCTCACTTACGTCTTTTTGTCTCTAGCAAGAATATGACCTCCAGGAAAATCTCTCTTAAAAAAAATCTTTTTTTCTCATTTCCAGATACTCACAGGCACACCATGTGACATGAGGGTGTTGGGATTCATGAGAGTGACAAGTTGATGTAAGAGATCAGGCTGGCTTTCAAACAGCTCAGGTGTTAGCATCTTCATTACCTCCTCCAAATGTTCTGCTGCCAGTGAGGGTACCCCATACCAGGTTTTTGGCTCACCCCTGCTCAAGTAGAAAACACACACATAAAGCATGCACACATTTGTGGGAGAGTTGTCATAACTATCAAAGCCTTTAGGATCCAGCTCACCAATGCAGGTAGTTAATGGAGTAACTCCAATGGTCCTCAATATGCCAACAAAATGCTGAGAAAACCATCCCCACATAAAGCCAGGGCACTTTCATGCCTGAAATGTCTGCATTGATGTGGCAGAGAACAGACTGATCCAGCACTGGCATCACATTCAGGTTCCAACCACTGCTCGCATAGACCTGTTGGGTCAGAGATTTGCCTGAGTGGGTAGGGAGCAAGATTTAGCAAAGTGAAACAAACTAAGGCAGGCAAACATAGGAAGACAACCGTATTCTTTGAGAATAATGTTTGTTATTACACATTACAGAAGGCCCAAGTATGATTTATAAATGCAAGATTTTTTGCAGGGCAAGAGAGTGCACTGTAATTCAAAAATTAACTATCTATAAACTAGATTAAGATTTTTTAAATGTGGATTATATAACTTGCTCTCAGAAACTAATAAACATTCTTTATCATTTAGACAAAATTTCAAACCTCTATGTAAACTTCATAGACAACAGGCTCTCCTCTATTCCCAATATGTTATTCCTTAAAGAAAACTAGCTTTTCAGTATCACATTTTCTTTTTATATACTTCTGTGTTACTGGTCAAAAAATTTACTATAAATCTTGTCCAATTCTCAGTACAAACAATACTCAACTCATAAAGGTAGGACTTAACAAGTTTCACTTTATAATGATGTGAAAGCTATATAACTGTTCAATATAAATGGTACTTCTACGTCCACTGTTTTTCACTTTCAGTACTATAGATTTAACACTTTATTGTAAAATAGGCTGTTAGAATGTTAGAAAATATTCAACTGAAGACGACACTGGAGGTCATCTAGTCCAAGGGAAAAAAAATATTAAAAATAAAAAATATGAAGACATATTAAGAGCCCTAAAGGATGAGGAGGATCAAGCAAACAATTTACAAATTATTGGCCTGTCAGAAAAAGAAGAGATAAATGAATAGAAAATATTAAAATAAATGTCATAAACATCCCAATCCTTTGGAAGGAAACAGAAAGCCAGATATAGGAAGTTCAAGGAACATCAAATAAAATGAATCCAAAAAACTTGGGAACCAGCAGTTAGCGTAATGGCTATGTTGCTGGACTCCCAAGTAGTCGACCGCGGTTCGCGTCCCGGACCTGGTGGCTTAAAACTCATGCCGGGCGCGTGTGCGTGCGTGCCCAAGATCCCGAGAGGAGAATGGAGGAGAAGGGATTGCGGCGTGACCATCCCCCCTGGGGGGTGATTTCTCGCTTTCAGTCTCTAATGTCTCTGTCTGTCTGGCGAGCGCACGCACCCTATAGTGAAAATCTCTCCAAAAAAAACTCACACTAAAGTCAACGTCAAAATTAATTTGTTAATAATTAAAGCAAAACAATGAGTGTATAAAACAAGGGGAAAACAAACTATTGCATATAAAGGAACTCATGCAATACTATCAGTAGATTTCTCAGCAGGCAGGAACATTGATGGACATAGTAAGACAGTATTAATATTTAGACTCTAAAGTAAAACAAGAAACAAAATGTCCAACTGAGAGTACTTTATCCATCATTTCTATCTTTCTATCTACAAAAAAATTAAGGAATGATAAAAATTTTCTCAGACCAAAGCTAAAAAGTTTTCACATCACTTGACCTTTCCTAAAAGAAATGCCTCAGCTTTCTTCAAGCTGAACAAAGCGGTTGTTAGTTTTTAATATGAATTTATAAAACAATAAGTAAAGAGAAATACATATCCAAAATATCCAAATTAAAAAACTCACTCTAATAGCTATTAAAAAAGCAATTATATCTCTAGCATAAAGTTTAAAAGGCAAAATTATTTATTTATTTTTTAGGGGAGAGGTTTTTGCTACAGGGCGCTTGCGCTCGCCAGAAAGACAGAGTGAGACAGAGAGACAGAAAGCGAGAAGTTACCCCCCGGGGGGGATGGCCACATCGCAATCCCTTCTCCTCCATTCTCCTTGGGATCTAGGGTATACACACATATGCACCCGACATGAGTTTAAGCCACAAGTCTGGGACTTGAACCACAGTCAACTCCATGGAAGTTCAGCAACATAACCATTACACTAACTGCTGGTCCCTAAAAGGCAAAATCATTAAGAACACATAGAACAACACTTTGTTAAGGAATAAATATTGTAGCATAAAAAAGTAAGTATGGCATCAAAAGCATTAAAATATTGGAGATAGTGAAGTAAAACTACAGAGTTCGTATACTACAATTAAATCAAATTGGTAACAACTTACAATTAGTCTGTTATAAAACTTTTTCTGTAAACCTCAGGGCAAGCATTAAGCAAAATGAATACCCCAAAGATAAAAAAATATCTAAAACCAGAGACAGCCACCAGACAACCTAACAAAGCAAGGAAGATGGAAGAGGGGGAAGATTTACAAAACAATGATTATCTCAAATATAAATGTATTCTATCTCCAATTAAAAGACACTGAATAGTTAAAATATTTTTTTAAATCCCACTATATGAGGCCTACTACAAATTCACTTCACTTATAAAGACACGTTCAGACTGAAAGTGAAGAAATGGGAAAAGAATCCATGCAAATGGAACCAAAAAGAGAGCAACGACAACTATACATACTTTTAAAAAAGGATACTTCATGTTTTTAGCTCAAAAATAATAAAAACAGGGGAACCAGCAGTTAGCGTAATGGCTATGTCACTGGACTCCCACGTAGTCGACCGTGGTTCGCGTCTCGGACCCCGTGGCTTTAATCTCATGCCGGGCACGTGTGCGTGCGTGCCCAAGATCCCAAGAGGAGAATGGAGGAGAAGGGATTGCGGCGTGACCATCCCCCCTGGGGGGTGATTTCTCGCTTTCTGTCTCTATGTCTCTGTCTGTCTGGCGAGCGCACGTGCCCTATAGTGAAAACCTCTCCAAAAAAAATAAAATAAAATAAAAAATAAAAACAGGTAAAGAAAATCACTATGTAATAATAAGTAAACTCTTGACAGTCTAACAATTTTAAATATATATGAACTCAATATAAATGTAAACATATATTTATTAATACATTTAAAAGATGAGAAAAATTCCAGAAAAAGTAAAAGATTTCAATACTCCATTTTCAACAATAAATAGATTAGTAGAACAGACAATTAGTAAAGAAACATTGGATTTGAGTTACATTTTAGATGACTGAATCTAATGGACATACAGAAAGCATGCCCTACAACAAAATATATATCCTTCTCAAGTGCAGAGGAATTATTCTTCTGGATAGATAGTTCATGTGGTCATTAGTCTTAAAAACTTTTAAACCAAACTGATGTACTATGTTAACTATATTTTCTAATTAACTTATAAAACTATAATAACAAGGGAACAAGGAATTAGCGTAATGGCTATGTCGCTGGACTCCCACGTAGTTGACCACGGTTCGCATCCCGGACCCGGTTGCTTAAAACTCACACTGGATACGTGTACGTGCATGCCCAGGATCCCAAGAGGAGAATGGAGGAGAAAGGACTGCAGCGTGACCATCTCCCTGGGGGGTGATTTCTCGCTTTCTGTCTCTATGTCACTCTGTTTGGCAAGCGCACGTGCCCTATAGTGAAAACCTCTCCAAAAGAAATAATAAACTATAATAGCAAGAGGAATTGTTAAAATTAGCAAGTATGTGAACATTAAGCAATATGCTACTAAACAATTATTGAGTCAAAAATGGAATTAAAGGGGAAATTAATAAATATCTTCAGGTAAAAATAGAAGAAAACCCAAAACTTAGGATATGCAATAAAACAAGTCCTAATATAATAACCTAAATGAAAAGAGGAAGAAAGATCTCAAGTAAATAACCAAGTGTTAGGCCTCAAGGAAATAAAAAGGAAGAACCTATGAGGTCTAAATTGAGCAGATGAAAGAAAATAACAAAGATCAGAGCTCAAATAAATGAAAGAAGAACAAAATAAAGAGTTGGTTTTCTAAAAAGAAAATCAACAAACTCTTAGTTAGAATTGTTAAGAAAGAAAAATACTAAAAATCAAAAATAAAAGAAATACTACTACTGATAAAACAGAAATAGGAAGGCTCTTAAGAGGGACCAGTAGATGGCATAGTGGTTACATCATTGGACTCCCATGTAGTTGACTATAGTTCGAGTCCTTGACCTGGTGGCTTAAAACTCACGCTGGACACATGTGCACATATGTCAAAGATTCAAGTGGAGAAAGTACTGCAGCACAGCCACCTCCCCTTGGGGAGAGGCGTGGATTTCTTACTTTCTGTCTCTCTGGCAAGCACATGTGCCATATAGCAAAAATCTCTCAAAAACACAAATAAATGAATGACAAGGAAAGATCATAAGTGACATCTATTTAAACATTACTGCTAAAAACAAAGTTAACAACCTAGAAGAAACTGGTAAATTCTTGTAAGCAAACTAACAATTTTGAATCACAATCTGGAAATCTGAACAGACCATTAACAATAAATAGAAAAAACCCAAAACTTAGGAATTAGTAATTGAATTAGTAATTTAAAATCCGCTACTAAAGAAAGGCCTAAAACCAAAAAGAACAAAGCCCTATACGTTGTTTGTTGTACTATAAATCAGTAGAGTCATCTGGAAAACAGCATGGAATTTCTCCAATTAAAAATAGCATAACATTATGACCCAGCAATCCCACTATGAGGCATAAATAAGAAACTGAAATCACGACGCTTAACAGTTGTACACATTCCCACGTTCACTGCAGCATTATCCACAATAACGAAGATACTGAATCAACCTAACTCATCAATGAATGAATGAAGAAAGAAAATGTGGTACATATTTGGAGACAAGGTTGTTAAGATAATTGGAAGTCATATGGCTAACTATGCAGCTCGAGTCCAGGACTAATCAACTTGAGAAACATGCTGGGCACATATGCAGGCAAAAAATTCTGAGAGAAAAACAGAGAAGGAATTATGGCATGATCATTCCCCCAGAGGATGACTTCTCATTTTCTTTCTCTCTTTCTCTCTGGCTACTATACATGCTCTAGCACAATTAAAAAGAACAAACAAAAATGAAGCATACATGTATTGGGTTGTCGGAAAAGTCATGATGTATTTTTGCAGAGAAAAATACTTTTTCAACAATCCAATCCAATGGAATACCAATAAGAAAACACAAATCCTGAACTTTCTTTGTCCAAAAAAAAAAAA